CCTCGGCCTATCGAGGTGTTCAAAAAATTAGTCCTCGGACTACCGAGGTCTACAAATAAGCTCCTCGGCCTACCGAGGTGTTCAAAAAAATAGTCCTCGGACTACCGCGGACTACAAAGAAGTTCCTCGGCCTACCCGAGGTGTCCAAAAAATTAGTACTCGGACTACCGAGGACTAGAAAGAAGCAACTCGGCCTACCGAGGTGTCCAAAAGATTAGTCCTCGAAATACCGAGGTCTACAGAGAAGCTCCTCGGCCTACCGAGGTGTTCAAAAATTTAGTCCTCGGACCACCGGGGTCCACAAAGAAGTCCTCAACCTATCGAGGTGTCCAAAAAATTAGTCCTCGGACTACCGAGGTCTACAAAGAAGCTCCTCGGCCTACCGAGGTGTCCAAAAAATTAGTCCTCAGACTACTGCGGACTACAAAGAAGCTCCTCGGCCTACCGAGGTGTCCAAAAAATTAGTACTCAGACTACCGGGGACTACAAAGAAGCACCTCGGCCTACCGAGGTGTCTAAAAAATTAATCCTCAGAATACCGAGGTCTACAAAGAAGCTCCTCGGCCTACCGAGGTGTTCAAAAATTTAGTACTCGGATCACCGGGGTCCACAAAGAAACTCCTCGGCCTACCGAGGTGTCCAAAAAATTAGTCCTCGGACTACCAAGGTCTACAAAGAAGCTCCTCGGCCTACCGAGGTTCAAAAAATTTGTCTTCGTACTACCGGGGTCTACAAAGAAGTTACTCGGCCTACCGAGGTGTTAAAAAAAACAAGTCCTTAGACTACGAAGTAAGACATTTTGTCGCAAGTAACATGATTGTCTACCCATGCAGCAGTACTGAAAAGTCGCCAAATGCAGATATTGATCTGTAAATGTCTCATCGCTTATTTCTGCACACGTAAAAGTTACCGTGTACATAAAATGGAGGGCAAGTAATAAGGGAGAAAATATACATTTATTAGGCGACACGTGGCTCTGGAGAATAAAGACACGTGTACTCCAAGGACCATAAGTGTCCAAGGTCGAGGCTGATGCCGAACCTCAATTTAGGCCTAAGGTCCCAAGGAGTCTTACTCTGGGCCCAAGGTCCTTAAGAGAATTACTGTAGGCCCAAGGTGCAGAGGAGCTTTACTTTGGGCCCAATGTCTGAGATCAGCCCACCAAGCTAGTGGGCTGGGAAGTCCTCCGTCTGCAGAAGGGAGACCTAGGTCGTCCCACTCCTATAAAAGGACGACCTAGGTCAAGGTAAGAGATATATTCTCACCACTCCAAACTCTCTCTGCTACTCATTCCGCAGCCACCACCTCAGAAAACCTAAAACCGATTCTAACTTAAGCATCGGAGGGTCTACCCCTGGGGACAACCCCGGGGTTCTGTTTTGCAGGCGTCGGAGCAAAGGAGACGAGTTCAGGAAGACGTCGGAGCATCAACCGTCGCCACGTGTCCTCTTACTAACGTCAGGTTATTCTTGTATCATCAGCTATAGATTATTTTGTATATATAGATTTACTTTTTAATATAACTAGTGTACTCTCCGTGCATTGCACGGTGGTGTTTATTCCTCAAACCCTTTTTTTCACATAGAGGAGATTATTCAAATTTTGGCCAAAAAAATTACTCAATTTAATAAATATTTTAGGCGGGTAGCCAATTTTTTTTTTTTTGCTGATTTTTAGTTACTATTTTAAGTAAATATCATTGAGTCTTTATATATTATAGATTTTAATATTAGTTTTTGTGGTACAATACATATACAGATATAGGGGTGAGCATCGATGCAGTTCGGTAAAAAATTGAACTGCACCGCAAAACACCAAAAATCAAAATTTGAGAATTTCTTCATCGAACTGCACCGCAAGAGAAGGAAAAGCCGAATCAAACCAAACCGAAATTTTCGGTTGGTGCGGTTTTTCAATTAGCCGCAATTAAATGCCCACAAATTTATTGAAAAGCCAAAATTAGGGTTTAATGCTAGATTGAATAAAGAGGACAAAATGGGAAAATCAAAAAGCAAGACTGAGAGAGTAAGAGCCCCTAAATTGAGGAAGCCGAGCACCGGACAGTGAGCAGCAGCGGCGTGCGGGGCGGGTTGTGCGTCTGAGGGTAAGAGCGAGCGAGCGCCGAGCGTCGGACGGATGAAGTGAGAATGAGCGGCGGACGAGATTTTTATCGTGGTTGGGGCTTGAGAATTGAGAGAGAAAATTTGAGGTTGAGGGCGAGGTGAGAGAAATAAAGAGACGTGAGTGATTAGTGAATGGATATAACATTTTAATTTGTATGTTTTAATTGTAAAAGTAATGATATAAATCTATGTACTAATGTTGCTAATTGTGCTGGTACAATATAATGGAGAGCGTGTTCCATTTAATACTTTACAATGTTCGGTAAGGTTCTGTTAAAACCACATCCTCCAAAGAGAAAATCGGAACGCACCGAAATTTTTGCGGTTTTTCAAAATTCAAACCGCACCTGTAACAACAAATTTCGTGTATTGAATTTTAAAAACACGAAAAATATTATTCAAATGAATTTCTCGAATCAAAATAATATCGCGGGTTACAATCTTTATTATTCCTCTGATTCTTCTCACGAAAAAATTTAAGTTTTGGAGCGAAATCTTCGGCTTGATCTTCTCCTTGACTTGATTTGACTTGAATTAACGTTAATCCGAGGGCTTGAGAGCTTTTTCCTGGATCAAACGTCGAAATATCCCAAGTACGCGAAGAACACAAATCTTGGTCTTCGCCGCAAAGTTGATCTCGAATCTTCTTCACGCCGGTTTTGAATTTACTAACGTTATTCGGAGGCTTCGCAACTTGTTTCCAGATTGAACGCCAGTCTTGAGGTTGAACGCGCTTGAATCTTGCTTTGAATCTTCAAGAACGCCTTTGAATCTTCAAGAACACTTGAATCTCGTCGAGAGATCTTGAACTTGAACTTGAATACGAACGTAATTCGGAGGCTTGGTAGCTTGTTTCTGGATTAAACGTCGGTTTTGAGCTTGATGTGCTTGAATCTTCCTTCGAATCTTCAAGAACGACTTCGAATCTTCAAGAACACTTTGAAACTTGTAGAGAGAATTCTCTAGAGCTCTTGAATTTGAATATGAATTATGAGGTGTTTTTTTAACATTAGGGAGAGTCCCTATTCATAGGGGTAGGAGAGAGCACCCTACCAAATTTAAGAATCGTAGGACACGATTTGATTGGTCCATGATGATTCACATAAGATCTTTAAGATCTATTTAGATCTCCCAAGATCTTCTAGATCCACTTAAATCTTCCAAAATCTTCTAGAATATATGATTTATTTACCAAGAATAAGTTTTGACACTTGGCATTATTTGATTGGTAAAGAATTAAAAGTTCCTTCGGGGACATCCGATAAAATTGGAACGATACAGAGAAGATTAGCATGGCCCCTGCGCAAGGATGACACGCATAAATCGAGAAATGGTTCAAAAAGAATTAAAATATTAAAATATCAATTAATTAACTATTTAAATTTAGGAATCAAATATGTGAAAATTCCTAAAATATAAATAAAAAATATGATTTGATGTTTAATAAATTAATTTCCACGTGACGCCATTTGATTGACCACAAATTTTATGCATCTACAGCACCGCAAACCGTACTCTTCAAAAACCGAACCGAACCGCACCGAAAACATCGGTTGGGTTCGGTTTCGGCTCGATTTTGCTCACACCTAAATAACATATATATATATACTAGTTATTACAAGGTAACAAATAGTCGATGAGAGGGCCGGCAGAAAGAATCTTGTATGGTTGAAGGACGAAAGGAATCAGAAAACCAGAAATTCCTGGTCGACAGAGGTTATATGGTGGAGCCGGTCTATGAAGCCCACCAATTACAGACGATGCACTCCAATTTGCTACTGAATTCCGATACTGCAGCTGTCGCTACGTCGTCCTCCGCCACCCCCACTGCCGCTGCTGCCGAAAATCAAGTTATTCCTCAAATTGCAGGTTGTCCTCTCCTTTACAGTTTTCGCTTGTTCAGATTTCTTTAAACGAAATAAGAAAGTAATCATATATTTCTCATATATTCGGGTAAGTGCCCTATATAATTTATCTATATAATTTATCAGTTATGCTGCCAAGGCACCTTTTCAAGCTGATTTAATTGATGAGAAACATAGTTCATGCAAGAAACGAATGGGAGTAAAAGATTTAGGGAGTAACTGCTGCATTGCGTTTCGTTTATACTCTTAAGAATAATAATCATAATACGGGAATTATATGGAGAATAACAATGAATCATTGTTGATTGCGTCGTTGATGTGACGGTAATGATGCTAAATATGATGGTTCTTTTAGTGGAATAATAGTTGGTTGTGATTGGTGACTTCAAATCGGATAGAGCCAACTATGTATGTGCTATAGGTTATGTGTGGTGATATTTGATGCGAATCTTTGTTTTTTGGGTGAAATAATAGTGGATGTGATTGATGATTGGAAAATTTAGGATGGGTGAAAAGTGTTTTGCTTGAAATATTTCACATCCGATGCCAAAAAGAGAGAAAAAAATGGTGAAAAATGGCGAAACTTTTGCCAAAATTTCTTATATCTATGCCTGCCTTATTCACTTGGAACTTTACGTTCTGTATTTGCTCCGCGTTTAGTTTTTACTTTTTAAGCAGGTCTAATTCTTCGTACCAAGCTTTTATTCAGTTGGATTACAGTTAATTTAGTTACGGAGTGTGTAGTATGTATTAACTATATGAGAACTTATTTACAAATATTGGTTGCTTAACTCGGTAGAGATGGAAGGTTCTGGATTTGACCTGGAAAACAATGAAGCTGTCTGTGGAGATAGTGATGAAGAAGGAGTTGCACTCGTTCGTTCTGGTGGAGAGGTTGTTGATGTTAACGAGGGACCATTTGAAGCTCACATTCTTGAGCTAGAGAAGAAATTGTTGGAGCAGATCGTGTACAGTGAAGAAGAAGCATACATGCTGTACTGTGATTATGCACAGGCCATGGGTTTTAACGTCCGGAGGGGGAAACAATATTATTTCTTGGGAACCAAAAGGGTGAGATCAAAGACTTACTGCTGCTCGAAGGAAGGGGCTAAGGACGAAAGATCAGATACCAATGGCGTCAGTTACAAGAAGCCAGAGACGAGGACGGGATGCCGAGCAATGATATCTTTCGCATGCGATGATAGCAGTCAGTGGAAAGTATCAAAATTTGTGAAGGAGCATAATCATGAAATGGCCCCACCACATGCAAAGCCCGTGGTGAAATCTGGCCAAGCTATTTTGGCTGCAAATGTTTATGGAAATGGAAATGCTCTAGAGTCTATGGTAAGTATTGCTTATCCCCATTTTTTCCGGTACAAATAAAGCGTTTTGTTGTCTAACAATGTGGGTGGTATGCAATTCGTGTTTTCAGTTTTCTTCAACTTATATGATGATCCTCCATATATGATTGTTTTCTTCGGTGACGGAGGATCATTTGGTATAGGCATAGCTCATGTAATATTGCTTAAAATATCGCACTGAAACCACTATATATTTTGTGTATCCAAAGAAATGGAAGCAAATTGCATCAGATCTGTGTGCTTTAGATGAGCGTAGCAACTGTCTCAAGGGGCATATTGTGCTTTCAGTGGTAATTCGTAATCCTGAGAAATTGAACATTAAATAACTTGTACACTGAGCCTCTGTTCTTTCTCTCTGCGTATAGATTTCTTTAAAATCTCTGCAAGCTAGACTGTATTTTTGCATTATTGTGCTGGATTTCTTTGAATGCGTGTCCAAATGATAGAAACACCACTGACCTTTCCATTATGAAGAAACCTTCACTGTAAGTGAAACTGGATTTTGCCTAACAACACTAAGATATGCTAAAACGTAATAAAGAAAGTAACAATTGGTACCCTGAGATAATGAGATAACGTGCCTGCTCATTCTGCTTAAATGAGGTAACCTCATTACCTAAAGATATTTAAAAGTTTTAAGTTGAGTCTGGGCAAATATGAGAAAGGTGCTTATTTGTTTAGAAACAAGCATCTATTGGAATTTCAGTTATAAGAGAAGTTATGTTTGCTCAAACTCCTATCTAAAGATACGTTTGTGGAGGACCACCTCATGCAACTAGTTTTTGTCTACACTTTTGAAACTCCATTGTTCCTCACTTTCCAGATAAGGCCTCAAACGTATCTGATCTGCTCTCCATTATGCTCATATCATCTTTGATCTTTCAAAGGGAAAAGAAAAAAAGGAATTTCCTGCTGGTAGTGCTTATATGGTGAAAGAGTAAAGATATTTGTAGCATTCTCTTTGTCAACCAGAAAGTAGGAAACCCGTTTCATATCTTCAATATAAGGAGGATTTACAATCCTTGTTAATTGTAGCAACTTGCTGCTTGTATAGTAGAAAGAGAGAAGACTAAATCCGAAGGTGCCATGTAAAGTTACTGGTGCTAAATTATCTTTCTGGGACAATTGTGTAGATCAATTAGGTGTGATAGTTACATGAATAGGAAGCTGTTGCATTTGGAGTATGGATAAGAAACTGTTGAATTTGGATAGGGGTGAAAAGAAATATTTGAGATGTGGAACGCAAGTAAAATACCATCATATCTCACAATGCATATTATGGATGGAGGGTAAACATGAGTTTCCTAAAGGATGCCAAAATATTATTGGTATTATTGAAACTGTTTCATTTTGTAACCACTTTCGAGTATCTAGTTACTGAGTTATTGAGAGGTGAAGTTCCACGTTCCTAATCAATGAGACATTTGCAGTGAATATATGTGTATAAACACGCAAAGTTAGGCTAAATGAACATATAATCTGGGTATTCGGTGGGGGAATGTTCAAGATAATGTAAAAGGAAAGTTTAGAAGCTATCCTCACAGTTATATATGGTTAAACGAATAATAATTGCAGTAAATCCTGGTGTTTGCACTTTGATATGTGTCGAGTATATCTTTTATTTATCTATTCTAGTTGAGTTGATGTACATAAAATCTTTGAAAGTGAAATACTAACACAAATAAACTGTAAATGAAGAAAAAATGGAGAGGAAATAATATTAAGGGTGCAGAGCATGACTTGATGATCGTGGGTTATACAATATCTGAAACGTGATATATGTTAAGTGTGATCAAGTCCGTTTAATTGTTATTATGATGTTACCGTTTATAAGATAGTTCCTTAATTTTGTATGGATTATATGTGGTGAATAACTAACTTAAATATGAAACTACTGGAAAGATCAATGAGATGGAAAAGAACAGATGCAAGCTGCAAGGATCCTGAGGAATATCTCATGTATTGTTGAATGTAATGTATGCTGGAAATGGTTATGAGTAGGCTGGAATATATTTGGGAAGCTTCAGGAATTTTCATTGCTAATTGCCTCTTTATTCCCTCACATGATCCAAACGCTATATTTCATACAGTCATAGAGTCCACAAGAAATGACCTCGTGTACACAAATTTTAAAATTACACAATTAACTCACTTTTACTCAATTCTTCCACAAATCACTATTTTTTAAAAGAAAATTGCAATTATTTAATCACAATAATTCCTCGTTTTCCCATTAAGTTTACTGTTTGCTTGTTCCTAACATTAATCTAATTACTATTACAAGTCATTGTTATGAACCTTAGGGTCTTTAGATGAGTAATATGAAGTATGGGCCTTTAGTATATATGGGTTGGGCCTATGATATAGTTAACACTCTCCTTCAAACTCAAGGTGGAGGTGGAGGTGGAGATGGAGGATCCGAAGCATTGAGTTTGAGCAAATAAAGTCGGTACTGCTCTATAGTTTGTGCTTTGGTGAAAAAATCAGCCAGTTCTGACAGCACACATTGAAGAACAATTATTTTCTAATGACAATGACCCTAGGTAAAGGAAGCATCAACACCATTGTGTTTTGTAAGTTAATGCTTCACAGGATTATTGACAATTTGGATAGCTCCAGTATTATCACAAAAAAGAGGTGTAGAGCATCAAATGGAATACCAAAATCGTCTAACAACCATCGAAGCCTTATAATTTTGAGGTTGTAGTAGCAAGAAAAATGCAGTAACCAGTGGCAAAACAATGATATGTTGGATTACTCGCCCAAGTAGAGTCTGAGTAAGCATGAAGCTATAGCGGACCATGACGAGCATATAATAAACACTGAGATGATGTTGCCTTTAAGTACCGTAGCACACGAAGCAAATGCCAAAATGAACCGAAGTAGGAGCCCTCACAAACTGACTCAATATATGAATGACGCGAGCAATGTCAAGCCTCGTAACAGTAACATAAACTAGACTACCTACAATATGTCGATAGCAAGAGAGATTCTCAATAGGCGTATCATTAGTGGGACGAAGCTGTAAGCGAAGATCCATAAGTGTAAACGTTGTCCAAATATCAGTAATACCGAAATGAACAAAAAGTCTTGTATGTATTTGGACTTAGAAAGGTAATAGCCCAAGGCAGTAAACATCACCTTAATGCCCCAAAAGTAGCCAAGACGACCCAAATCGGAAATCGAAAATTGTTGGCCAAGTTGCTTCTTGGCAGAGAAATATGTTCTGCATCATTTCCCGTAATCAACATATAATGAAGATGTAATCAACATACATCAAGATATAGAAGAAGTTGAGTACGCCCACGTGGAGAGAGTTGAATAAACAAGGCGAGATCATGATCACTAGGGAAAATTCCAACAGCCCAACCAACAACCCGTATGACAGAGACAACGCTCAAACCAAGCACGTGGAGCCTGTTTGAGACTATATAAAGCGCGACGAAGACGACATCATGTCCGGAGGCGGAGGGGGCATCAACACTGGTGGTAGATGCGTATAAACTCTCATGCAGATCACCATGAAGGAAAACATTCTTCACATCTATCTTAGATGTAGTCCAAGAACGAGTAGCAACCATTACAATCAAAGTGCAAATAGTCATGTGAGCAACATGAGCAGAAGTCTCATCATAATCTCGTCTCTGAGTCTGCTGAAAGACTCTAGCAACAGGGCGCGCTTTATATCTCTTTATAGAACCATCCGATTTGATCTTAATCTTAAAACCCACTTATCTTAAAACCCACTTACAGGTGATAGATATGACAAGCAATCATAATGGAACAAGACACTTACGACAAGTGCAGCAAGCTGGCTAAGCTGCCACTCCAAAATACTCGAAGGTCCGTGATATGTTGAGGGCTCATCACTAATAGCACCCGCACGTGGAAAACCTAACCTATCATAAGGCTCAATAGTAGCACGATCACGTAAATTATATCTTTGACAAACCTCAGACTCTCCAAGAATAGCATGATTGTAACTTTTGTAACGACGAGTATAGACTTGTGTGATGATTGTTTATGTGGTGGAGACTCGTCATAAATAGGTGGTGCATGCTCATAATGAGTGGAAGATGGTGAAGAGATAGGGAAATCATCAATAGAGAAAACATGAGGAAGACATGAGAAGGACATAGACTCTATAGAATAAGAAGATGTTGGGTATGTAGAAGGGTTGTAAAAGAAAGGACGGTTCTCGACAAAAGTTACATAACGAGATATACGAATGCGACGCGGAAGAATCATAACAACGATAACCCTTATGTTCAAGGACTATACCTTAAAAAGACACACTCAACTACTGAACACCATAGTTTTAAATGGCGAATGGCGAGGCGAGACGATTGGCCCATGGCCTCGCCATGAGGCGAGGCGATTCGCCATGGCGAGGCCTCGACTACACATGTCACCAAAATTTAGAAAAACAATATTATGGATTGTGCAATTAGATAGATGCGCAAATGATAAGAAAAAAACATCAAATATCTTCCATAAAGGCAAGAACACAAATGAAACACAAGTCCATAGCACAAACACCACTTAAGAAAGTAATTGAAGGTTTTGAGGGTGAAGATTTTTTTTGCTTGTGTTCTCAGTCTCATAAAACCCTAGCTTCATGGTCTGGGAGATGAAGGAAGAAAGAACCCGACGTGCGGTTTTTTTTTTTTATTCTCTTTCCCAAAATGTGTTCATGCTTTTCATTTTTTCTTTAAAAAAGAGGGCATGCACCTTTAATTCCCTGAAAGGCGCCGAGGCGCGCCTCTTGCCAGACAAAAGGCGAGCCGAGGCGACCTGAAGCGGTCGCCTCGCAAACATGGTCGCCAGGCAGTGGCAAGGCGATGTGGCCCTCGCCTTGGTTGCCTTGCTTCGAGGCGTCGCCATTTTAAACTATGCTGAGCACTTAGTTTAGTGCGCTAACAAGGAGCAAGCAAAACATAGCATGTGCACCTTAAAATATGAAGATGATCATAGCTAGGGGGAGTACCAAAAAGTACCTCACCATTGGATGACGGTTACTGGTTGGTAAGATAAACAGTTGCACGCACAGCCACTCCCCAAAAATGAGAACGAACAAAGGAGACAATCAGAAGGGTTTGAGCATTCTCAATGAGATGACAATGTTTTCTTTCTGCAACACCATTCTGAGCATGTGCACCACAACAAGGGAGTTAGGCAAGAGTGCCCTCAAAACTCAGAAACTAACGATAAATGCTCACAACCAGAATCAAAACGAAAGGCTCAAATATGAGTAGAAATTGAGTATGAAGACGAATCTCTTTAGCAATCAAATCAGATAATGCATGTGTCATCGTCAGAGTAAAAGAATTATGAAGTAACCATATACGAATGGACTCATTCTGCTCTGACTCCCACGACCTAGTTATAAATAAAAACTTCTCAACCAATCTATGTGTGAACACTCCTCCACCAAGAACTGGTACTATCAATTGTCCCATCAAATGATCAAAAGCCGAGTAGTACTCATCAATAGACATGTCATTCTGTTCAATCACGTGAATTTTGTTGCATAAGTGTGTGCAAGAGTGCACCACTATCGTGAACGCTGTTGCAAATAAGACAGCATTCCTTTGCCTGTCCGAAAAGAAGAAAGGCACATAATTCAAAAAAAAGAAAGGCGCATAATCATGGACTACTGACACCGTTGATGATGGCAGCCAACACATTACCATCATTAATCTGCCATATCCTGTTGACATCAACATTACTATTATCGACCTTTCCTTCGGGTTCATCATCACTAGAATAGAAAGCCAAGCCAAGCCAAGCTAGACCATAACCTCTGAGCACAGTTTCAACCGAAAAAGCTCACTCCCGATCATCAAGAGTGATACTGATGTTGATAGCAGTTGCATAAAGTTACGACATGATTCGACCACGTATAACAATAGGTATGCCTTCACGATATACCAACGTTAAATAGGGAGCGACAAGCCGTGATGAAATATGAATAGAAGTGCTACGACGGGCAACGTAGGAGCACATGACAGACGAGTGACGACACATAACAGAAATTGACGATGGCTGGGACGGATTAGAGTACACAACCCTAACTACAGATCTGAAAAGGGCAAAACGGTCACGAAAATATCCCGAATCACAAAACTATAAACACTGGTGGCAAGGGGATAATTTCGAACACACGGACATGCGCCGGAAAAAATTCTGGCAAGCCACTTTTTTCCAGCAAGCCACGCGCACTCATGCACCGGCGTGTTGATGGCACCAAAATTCCGGATGCGCGTGTGGCTTACACGTCCGCCTTCTGGCGGTGAATCTTGGCCGTAAAGTCGATTCCAAGGCGGCGAGTTGACTATTGTGGGAGGTGAGATTGAAAAAAAATTATTTATTTGTATGGTTGTAATACCATTTTACAAACCTTTTAGGGTTTTGGGATGAATGAATAATTCAAATATGAAGATGCCATATATATAGACTTAGCGCGTTTAGTATACATGGGCTGGGCTTATAATATAGTTAACAATCAGTATTTGCTATTTTTATGTCTAGTCAACTTTTTGTTGTATCCATCTATAACTTTTATTCATCTTTTTAACGAAAAATCTGATCACTTTTTTTTTTTTTTCTGTCCGACAACATTTGCAAACTATAATGATTTCCATTCACAGTGCTTCCAGACCTGCCGTATCTCATGCTACAGTTTGGTTCATTGATACAGGCTGCAGATAACCTGTTGTGCTCATTGCAACATTACTAAGGTTTTTGTTCTCTGTGGTTTGATCACAGAAGCAATGCCATCACAGAATGTTACAAACCATTTTATTATATTATTTAGAATAACTAAGTGGGGTTCATCCCATAGGCCACAAGGTTAAGGTGTCCATTATTGTTATATTTTGTCAGGGTTATTATTCTATTTAGGAGAGTCCTTTGTTTTTGTGTAGGGCATAAGAGAAATAAGATTGTTTTGTGGCTTTATAGATTGGGCGGGATTATTTCCTTAGGAGAACCTAGGGTTCTTTTCTTTGTTCTTCGACATAATAAAATTTAGTTTTTTTACTTTGACCCTTTACTCCTATATTTGGTCCGACCTGCTGCTTGATATGACACGTATGGATTCTTGGGTTGAAGATATAGAGAAGGGTCGGAGGCAATTGTGGTAGGCATAAGAGACATAAGATTGTTTTGCGGCTTTATAGCTTGGGTGAGAATATTTCTCAAGGAGAACTTCGTGTTCTTTGAGAACCTAGTGTTCTTTTTTTGTTTTCTTGTTTTCAACATAATGATGTTTAGTTTCTTTTACTTTCATCCTTTACTTCTAACAATTGGTCCGACCTGCCGTTGGATATGACACATGAATTTAGGGTTGAAGCTTTGGAGAAGGGTCAGGAGGCAATTGAACACCGCCTCACTAGCCTCGAAAACGCCGTCACCAAACTTACCGACCTACTCACACAGTCTGCTTCATATGAGCAGACAACTGGAACTCGCGGCCATGACGTGGACAACGATCACTCTAGTTCCAGGGTTATCACCTGTTGTCCAATTAGGGTTGTTTCTCAATGGCCGTTTGGGTGCGATCGAACGATGTGGTGGACCTGCCTACAGCTATGCACGTTGCCCCCTCTATTGAAGGCACAGTCGATTTTCTTCACCATAGCACACCTTCTGGCCAACCTCCAGATGAAAAGCTGGACTACAGGTTTTGGACTTGGTTGGACCCCAAGCCCTGCTTTTAAGGGATCTACATTACCTAACCCTAATTTGCAAAACCAGCCCGTGTCAGCAGCCTACTCGTTTTCTACAAATGGTGGTCACTATTTTCCCGTCTCATCTCTTATTCTTTAGATTTGTACTCTTATCAAGGAGCTTCTCCAGGACCAAAATGTACCACTAGATTTTCATTGATCGACACTTGGTTCTTCCAATATGTCCCCACCCTGCTTTATATTGGCTTTTAGAATGTATGATGGGTTAATCACCATATTTTTGCTGTTACAATATTATCAATATATATAACCAATTTGGGTAAACCACCAGTGATGTAGTTACTTTGTCCAGTTCTCGTAGATATTAGTGATTAATGAATGAGCTCATTCACACAGTGGCAAAAACTTGTGTGATACAACAATGGGTCCTTTCCTGACATTGTTTATGCTCATATTTTACTTGATCATTAAGTGCGGATTACACTTTGTGCTGGAACTGATAGAATCTTATTTATCTCTCTCTCTCTCTCTCTCTCTCTCTATATATATATATATATATATGTGTGTGTGTGTGTGTGTGT